CGCAACCAGCGCAGCCATCTGAAGACTGTGGAGGCCATTCCCCACTGCGCGCTTGGCCGCTGCAGGACTTCCGAAGAGGCCGGCTTTGGCCTTTGGATGGCCCATCACGGCGAAACGCTCCTCTACTGAAAGCAACCTGTGCAATTTCTGCTGGCGCCATTCCTTGCGGCAATCGCCTGTGCTCATCACAAATAGCGCGGGGCCACTTGTGCGCAAACTGCTGACCTCGTCCAGTCTCACGTCTGGACACCCATCCTTCAAAGGATTCCTGTCCAGCTCCACACAGGCTACGCTAGGCCCAAGCCCCTGCAGGATCTCCTCATCTTCTCCGGATGAGGCGGGGAACATGTCCTTGATCATGTCCTTGTACAGCTTCAAATTGGCCCGCATGTTGATGGACAGCATGTTCGGGTTCATCGGGGGTAGGCTCCAGTTCAGCAACCCTGGCAAGGTCGCACACTGCCCAGACCCTAACACTTCTAGAAGGACCACTGGCAGGGGGCCACGGCATCCCTCGGGCAGACAGTCCCTCCGCAACCCCCTGATGAAGATTCGCTCCCGACTGATGGGCGCGTACTCGCAGCAGTTATTCACACGTACTTCAATGTGAAAGTAAGGACACGCAGCCTCCAAGATGGCCAGCATGGCGAGCAGGAATGGATCCCGGTACAAATTACTGGAGTTCTCCAGCATGAACCAGAGGAGGCAGCCGCGGGAGGCCAACTCAATAATCCAGCGTATGACCACCTCAAACGGCATTGCCCTGAAGTCTGCAGACCCCTTGCGCAGGCCACAGAAGGAGAACGGTTGGCAAGGCGGCCCTGAGATGAGGCCTTCTGAATCTTCCAGCGAGGACAGAGGCACTTTCTCGATGTCTCCTTTCTGCGGACCCACGTGTGCCACGCCGCTGCCGATCTGGCTCCAGTACGGCTGCAGCTGTTTGTCGAAATCATACACATTTGTGGCAACATGCCCGCATGTGCCAGGCAGATCCTGGTGGCAGGACACAGACTCTTCGACCCAGGTTTTCCAAGGGCTAAGCCCTGCGCAGGGCTCGCTTACCCTTGGCACGTGCTTTCGTTGCCGAAAAACGACGCCCAGCTCCCAGAGCTGCCTCTGCAGCTCGGTCCAGCCTGTGCGTACTGCCTCTGCGTGCTCGCCTTCCTGGCCTTCAGCCTGGCTCCCCTGGCTTTCCATCTTGCTCATCTTGGGGGCGGGGAGGGGACTGCACGACAGGCAAGGCCACGTTTCAGGTTTGAGCCACGTCAGGTGCTCACGCCGGCCATATGCTTTCACCATGCTACGAACACAAACTTGCTTTTCGGCCAGTGACTGGTATCATGGGCCATCCATGCAACACACGCGGTGACAATAACCAAAAATTAAGGCAGGTGACGCATGACCTACCGTTTGAGTGTGGAACTTGTTGAATGCGTGAAAACAAGCACCTGCGACCCTTAACTCTCTCCATGTCTGCCGAATTTCGAGTTTCAGTCAATGTGTACACTGTGCTCGTGCTTGGCGCAACAAACACCACATGTACTTGTGTTGTTATTCGCACATGCGCTTGCATCCTGCAAGCAAGGTGGACTTGCCATATGAGGCTTGTGGTTGGAAAGTTGAAATGCTGCGGCGAAATGAATATTTTTGTATTT